AATTCAGAGTACTAAAAGTTAACTCAAACCGATCATTGCTTACTTCTTCTCTTAGCCATAGCCAGAGAGTTAGTACCATCTTCCCAAGGCCAATACTTTGTAGCAGCACCAAATGGGTCGCCTCCAGTCCGACGGAAAGTATGCCAAAACGCAACACTGAATCAAAACCAGTCCTGTTAAAAAAAACTCAACATCTTTAACACTTTCTTCAAATCCATTGTCAAAATGTTGTAAGAAAACAAGTAAAAACTACCTTCATCTTCTTGCCAAGAATCTCCTCTTCTGTGTTATACCACCTGTAAGCAAGTGGATTCCTACTAGAAGGTCCCTGAAAAAATCAGTGAACAATCAATTAATCTACACATGCAACAATTCCTACCACAATCACACCACTAATGGAGCTCTTGGGGATATCAGGGAAGAAATCTCCTTCCCAATCATCAGAATCACTACACTTCCCTCCCAAATCCGCAGGACACAAAATCAGGTTGTGTAATGTGGCAACAAGACAAGAGTTTCAAAAATGAAATGGCATATGTTGGAGGATATATTAACTGCAGAAGCTATCATCCAAAATCAAATGCGTAATAAGAAATGAACATGACTCACCTTTTGGAGTTCTTTTGCAAATTCGATATCCAATTTTTTGTAAGATTCCTGCAGAAAAGTAAGTAAAAACAGGTCATTGAAGTAATGGAACAAAGAGCAAGATGCAAAAGCGATCCAAGGACTAAAAAATGAGAGACTTGCTGAGTTTTCACCTGAGCAGCAGCGTAAGCCGATACTCCAACCTCAGAGCTCGTTCCTCCAGGCCGAGAATTTGTCCAATAGGTCCTCCAGATTCGAGAAGTCGCCCAGATTCGAGAAGTTGCACCCAGGGGACGAGTCGCCATGGTCGAACCCTAAACAAAAAAAAAGCAGTGTGCTTTTTACTTCTTTTGTTTATAGTCTTATAGATAGTGATAATGTCACTTTTCATTTTATAAGACTATCTATAAGACTATAAACAAAAGAAGTAAAAAGCACACTGCTTTTTTTTTTTTTAGGGTTCGACCATGGCGACTCGTCGATATTGATAATTGGATCCGTGACTTTGTT